CCTTGTTGTTAGACAACCTTTCTAAGGCCCACTTGACTTCACTCTCCAGGATGTCTGGCTCAAGGTCAGCAACCACATTATCTGGGTTGTCTGGGATATCCAAATCTTTCTGGTATAATTCCTCTGTGTATTCTTGCCACCTCTTCTTGATGTCTTCTGCTTCTGTGAGGTCTCTCCCATTTTTGTCCTTTATCATGTTCATCTTTGCACAAAATGTTCCTCTAATATCTTCAATTTTCCTGAACAGATCTCTGGTTTTTCCTTTTCTATTGTTTTCCTCTACTTCTTTACATTGTTCATTTAAGAAGGCCCTCTTGTCTCTCCTTGCTATTCTTTGGAGTATGATAGGGGTATGATAGTACTCTTCAAATACCTGTATAGGTTGTCATACAAAAGGGCAGGATCTGTTCTCGATCATCCCAGAGTGCAGGACACATAAAAATGGGCTCAAATTATAAACCAGATTTTGGACAAAGGTCAGGAAAAAGTCCTGTTAGAGCACTATGACAATGGGGAAAATTACCTTGGGGGGTAGTAAGCTCTCCAACACTGGAGGTATTAAAGAGAAAGTTAGGCAGCCATGTGCCAAATACACTTTAACTTTGGATTAATGCACTGAGGAGGCAGTTGAACTCAATGGCCTTATAAGCCTTCTCCAACTAAATTATTCTATGATTCTATGACTGCAAGAGGAGGAAGAGGGAAACGTCTCTATATCATACACTGATTCTTCCCATATAAAAAAGCACTGGTTTCATTGTACAGTTTTGGCTGTGCGGCCATTTTCTTGGATTTTTGGCAAAATTTACTATAGGGGACGAAGGGAAAATGCTATTTCTTCTGATGCAAACATTGGGCTGGGAGGCAGTCACTGTAAGACACATGACATTTTTAGTTGGTCTTTGAAACTTTCTCCCCAGAACAGCTTGTCTGATAAGTATCCTCTATTAAGTTTGCATTAATGAAGAGCGACTCTAGCCATTCTTTATCTCTTATAGGATTTGGCGGGGAGTCCCGTATCTGAAGGGCCATAGGTTCCTGAGACTTGTCCTAATGGTCTCTTGTCTCTCTCTCTTTCCCCCCACCCCCCCATTATTAGCTTCAGCTTTTAAGCTGCTTCTACATGTTCTGTGCCTATGAGTTATGCTAACGAGAAGGCTGTTTTGGTTGTTGTCTGTTCTAGGGGCCCTTTCGGAAGAAAAACGAGGCGGTCGGGGCGGGATTATACAAATGTGCCAACAAACACATCTTCCGCTATCGGGATAATTCCCCGAAGTTTTGGGACATTCTGCACCCCTCAACACACGATTGCCCTTTTATTCGAGCCGTTCGTTGGGAACGCCTCCTAATCCCTTGTTTCTATAGCAACCAGGGTGAGAGAACGGGGGGGGGCGGCCGCTAACGGAAGTGATTCCTCTGGCGTTCTTCCCGCCCCCGTTGCTGCCCTTTGTACGCCGGCTGACGTGTCTACGGAAGTGGCGGCGAAGGAGGCTCGGCTTGGCGTGTCGGCACCGGCCAGGAAACTTCAGGGTGTTCTTCCCTCTTCTTCCGTCCCTTCCCTTCGCCATGGCTGCCCCGCGGCTCATATTGTCCGTTGCGCTCCTGGCGGCTTCTCCGCCCTTCCTCTCGGCCTTCTACCTGCCTGGACTGGCGCCTGTCAACTTCTGCGAGGACTCGAGCAAGTACGACTGCAAGGTGCGTCGTGGGCAGGAAAGGCAGCCGTCGGTGGGCATTTGGTGGTCCGGAGAGGAACGACGGGGAGGGTCTCTCCTCAGACTTCTGCGGAGGGAGGTGTGGGGGGGGGAGAGAGAGAGAGCAGAGTCTTTGCTTTTGAGAGGGAAAGTATCACCGAAGAGTACTAACATTTAATACCTACCCCGATAATAACAACAACAGTCCCCCCTGGTAGGCACAGTGCAGTGATAGAAGTAAAGGCAGGACTCCACCCCAACCACGGAGTCGTAGTCACTAATTTAATATCTGGAGCCATGTAGTCATCCTTTGTAAAGGTGACACCGAATATATTGACAGAAATCTTTTAAGAATATTCTGAACTCCATCATGGGCTTGATCTCTACTCAGTGAATGTCCAGGAATATGGAAGTATACTGTCAACAGGATAGTCAAGTTGAGAGACTCTTATTTGAATTTTTTTTCAATTTCTCCTTAAAATGGGCCCAAGGCAGCTTACATCATTAAAAGGCAATCATTAAAAGCTAAAAACAGTAAGTATACAAATATTAAAAAGAATCAGACAAATACCACTCTAAGAAATGGTTAGCAAGTAATGCCAAAAACACATTCAGAGCAGTAATGCACAACAATCCATTAAAAAAAAAACCCCACTCAGTCAGTCATGATGAAAAGCTTGTCTGAAGAGAGAGAGAAAGAGACCTGAAGAACTCTTTTTTTGTGACCAGTGATGGGTTAGAGGGGTGTAAGTCCCCAAACCAAAGGGAGAAAGGAAGAATTACAACTCCTGTATTTCTAAATTACAAACTCAATGTCCTTTATAAGGACTAAAATTATTAGATTAGTCAAGACATACGTCTAGTCTAATCCTATGAAGCTCTGAATGGCTTGGGTCTAAGTTACCTGAAGGACCGCTTCTCCTATTTTGAGCCTGCTCAGGAGAGACCTTTCTCTTCATCCCATCAGGCGACATGGGAGAGGGCCTTTTTTGTCAACCTGCAGAGTCTGGAGATTTCTTAAGATGGGCAGTTTTTGTGGTCAAGACACTTGAAAAGAGATGTACTCACCTGATGTAGCTGCTAATTTTCTCTACTTCGAAGAAAAATGTCTTTTGTAGGAAACAGGGTTTTATTGCCACCCACTAGAAATACTGATTCATTCACATCTTTAAGCTTATACTATGGCTGAAATCCTGTTGCTTAGAGATTTGGTGAGACAGTTCACCAAATAACAGGCAATGGAGATAATAGGTAATTACAGTGGTGCCTCGCATAGCGACGTTAATCCGTGCAGCAAAAATCGCTGCTAAGCGATTTCATCGCTATGCGGTTTTTAGAAGCCCATAGAAACATATTAAAACCTGTTTAATGCGTTCCTGTGGGCAAAAAACTGATCTTAAAGCGAAGATCCTCCATATGGCAGCCATTTTCGCTGCCTCTTAAGCAAGGAATCCGTCCTGAAACACAGCGGGCGGCCATTTTTTTACCTGGTGGCCATTTTGGAACCGCCAATCAGCTGTTAAAAAATCATCGCTTTGCGATGATCGGTAAGCGAAACAGGGACCCAATCATTGCAAAGCGGAAAAAAACCCATTTAAAACATCGCAATGCGATCGCAAAATCTTTGTCGCTATGCGGTTTCTTCGCTAAACGGAGCGCTTGTTAAGCAAGGCACCACTGTATGTTAATAGGGAGCAGGGCCCAGGTGAAGTGGTAAAGAAGTTTAAGGAGACATCCTGGACAGTTGTAAAGAAGTTTAAGGATGAGGATAAGGAACTTCTGTTGAGTCTGGATGAGGAAACAGTCTCAGGTGAAAATTAAATTAGAAAACACTTCAGCCATGTGTTAAAATTAATTGAAAGCAAAATTGCTTCCTGTTCATTGTCATTATAGAAGAGCTTAATGGATGCCTCACAGAAACACCAGATTAAATACATTTGCAATTTAAATGTAATAATCTGAACACAAGGTCAGTGTAGGGCATTTGGGGGTTGAGGGATGTGATGTGTCTATTTTTGCTTTTGCAGGTATTCTCAGTTGGATTCCATTACTACAGATCTTTTACTTTCTCACCTTTGAATATGCTGACTGCATTGAATTGTGATACTGAAGTCTTCTCTTGCTAGTATTTCTTTGATTTTGTTCTGTTGTGTTGGTACTTTATCCTTGTATAGTGTGATAAGCAGAATGTTGTCTGCTTAGTCCAGAACACTTCACATTGGTGGTAAAAAAGAAACTCTTTCACATAATGCTAAATTTTAAAATATTAAATAAACTTTTAGATGTAGGGCTGTCAGAGGCATCACCCACGGCAGTGAAAAGTAGCTTTCTGTATTCAGAAGTATTTGCTGGTAAGTCTGGCTGGATAGCTCAGTGAGTTAGGTATAAGTTCAATTTCCCACTATGCATTCCAGAACAGCCAGGCTGTGTGGCTTCCGACAAACTGTCCAGGATGTCTCCAGTAGAAGGGAACAGCAAACTACTTCTGAATACTCTCTACCTAGAAAACCCTAATAAGGGTTGCCATAGCTCAGAATTTACTTGACAGCATACCATTATTATTATGTGCTGTAAGAGTTTTTGGGTTCATGCCCTTTTTGTAGGATATATAAAGGTAGAGTTTTGTGTTAAATATTCTAGCTGTTCTCTAATTCAAGAATGAGGAATGTTTGGCTCTCCAAAACTTCCCACATAAATTCTGTGAAGCTCAGCTAACATGGCCAGTGTTGAGGAGTTAATAGAAGTTGTTATTTAAAACAACTGGAGGGCAAAGTTTTTCTTCTGTTGCTCTAAATGTGACTCATATGGTTTCCTTGTTAGAAAAATTGTGAAAAATAATATCTCTATCTCCTGTCTATAATACTTTGAACTGGTTAATTTTACTAGCCTATAGTTGTCTTATTTTAACAACATCATATTTTAATACAAAATGGATGAACAGTTAGCCTTCCAGATAATGTTGTACAACTCCCATCAGTCCTAATCAACATAGGGGTGAGAAATGAATAAAGTGGTCCATAGTGAGGAGTACATGTTACCTGTGCTGACTTAAATTTAAATTTGCTAACTTGCAATCAATTCAGTTGGAGTTGAAATATAAACATATGATCATTCCTATATTTTCCATATATAAATAAATATTTCTAACCTATTTCTATGGCATTTATTTATTGAGCAGTTGAGTGTTTTACTAAAAATAAGTAAGGATGAAAACAATGGGTAATCATGTTTTGTTTAATTTTTAACTTGTTTGTCAATATGGATTAAAATAGTGTAACTGTATTAACATCTCCATGCCTCTTTTGCAGTCTTCAATAGAAGTGTTTGTAAATAGACTGGACTCTGTGGAATCAGTCCTTCCTTATGAATATACTGTGTAAGTACATTGCACCTTATTCTTCAGTTTGATTTATAATATAGAACTTCTTTCTTGCTGAAAATACTGTAGCAAGGTGTTGACCAGCCTACTACAGTTGCAATGTCATTATACTTTTGTTCTTTATTTTCTTACCTGCCATGTGTTGTTAGGGAAGACAACAGATGCCTTCAAGAAAGTTCCTACCTTCCTTGCTGAGTTGGTGATAAAACAATTGCTCCTGCAGGGATGGCAAAGGCTGTCTTGAAGGTGTATCCTCCCAGACATTGTGGTGACACTGAGAAGAGAAGGAAGTGCTAGTGTGAGGTAGAGGACAAAGAATCTTAGAAAGAAGGGACATGGGTTGTTTTCTGTAAGGCATGTTGTAGGCAGAATATATGAGATACAAGTTAGAAAATTAAGAGAGAGAAAAGGCATTTGTTTTTTTCCTCAGCCCTGTTCTCTTCTGTCCTCATCCACTGTGAGACAAGTAAGAAGTTAAAGTAAAATTATCAAGAATCTAGTTGTTAGTGATCCTGACCCAACGTTGAATATTCAGCGTAGAATCCGCTGCTTTTTATTTGTTGTCAGTTTGCTGAAAACTCAGTATTGGTGTTTGACTTTGTTCTGGACATGAAGAAGTAGAAGCAGCAAGAGGGACATCTCCTTCCCTGTAACCCTGCACCTATTTTGCTCTCTTGTATAATCAGGAGACTGGGAAATAGTGGGGTCCTATCTGTTTTTATGCTAGGTTTCAGAAGAGATATAAATATTAGTCTAATTTATTGCTTTAGTTTTTCCAAAGCTGAGTGGAGAATTAGACTCATTTTTGGTGTGTGGTGAGGTCTGAGATAGGTAGCCAGCATGGCTAACTATTAAGAGGAATTCTCAGTGTGGCGTAATGGATAGAGTGATGGATTAGGACTAGAGATGGGCATGAATCAAGTCGTGTCTGTTCATGTGAAGTCGTCTGTGTGGCAGCACAGGTGCTGTGCCTCCCTTGCCCCCCACCCACCTGGCTGGCCCACTCACATGTCATCATGCACCACCAGGGTCCTCCTTCTGCAGCTGTGAGCCAATGTGGGAAGGAGCTTGGGCCACCCTTCCCCGCTTCTCCAGCAGCTGACCACTCAGGCAAGGAGGCAGGATGGGGATTCTCCCTGCACAGCTGTTGAGTGGTCAGCTGCTGGAGGAGGCAGGGAAGGGCAGCACAAACTCCTGCCCACATTGGCCGCCACTGCAGAAGGAGAACCCCAGCAGCACATGACAACATGAGAGTGGACCAGCTGGGTGGGAGGAGGGAATGTGCGGCACCTGTGGTGCTGCGCAGCACAAGCTCCTGCCCACATTGCCCGCCACTGCAGAAGGAGAACCACGGCAGCACACAACAACATGTGAGTGGACCAGCTGGGTGGGAGGACTGAATGTGCGGCAGCTGTGGTGCTGCACGGAGGACTTAGTATGAAGGGGCACAATTTAATTTGCATCCATCTCTAATTACGACTCTGGAGAGCAGGGTTCAAATCCCCCCTTGGCCATGGAAAAGCACTGGGGGAGTGGAACTGGTTAAACCACTCTTTATATAATTCACTTACCTTGAAAGTCCTATCAGGGTTGCTAGAAATTACTTCTGACTTGATGGCACAGAACACACAAACGTTACTTCTGACTTGATGGCACAGAACGCACACACAAACACACACAGCTATTAAGACAATCACTTTCATCTAGAATATTTTTTCATCTACAATAGTTGTTACTTAAACAGAATGCAGAAGTATCTTAATATAGCATTTTGGGATGTTCAATGTAGATAACATTATCTAGACCAGTGTTTCCCAACCTGAGTGTCAGGACCCCCAAAGAGGTCACAGAGTGTTTTTTGGGAGGTTGAGGGTTGCTTTACATGTGTTTGTTAGCCTTGTCGAATAATTTCTTCCTTGATCTTTTGGAGTGGCGGGTTGCTTTATATCTGTTTGTAGCCTTGTAGAATAATTTATTCCTTGATCTTTTGGAGTGGGATACTGAAGTTAGTGTGTATGTGTATGTGTGAGAAACAGGCCCTTTTGGGGAGAAAGAAGCCTCTACTTTCTAAGAAGGGATAACCGGGACTATTTTTTAACAAAAAAAGAAATTTATTTATTTATTTATTTCAGGACTATTTTTTAACAAAAAAAGAAATGTCAGCGTAATAATATAACTGTGCTGCTTCCTCACACAAAAGAAGACTTTAAGTATGATTCATCACTTCTGGAGAGCCTAAAGAAGGGGATGTCAGCGTAATAATATAACTACTGCTTCCACACACAAAAAAAGACTTTAAGTATGATTCATCACTTCTGGAGAGCCTGAAGAAGGGGAGGGAAAAAATCCCACCACAGCAACCCCTCATGAGGGGGACATGAAAACAAACATCCTTGTTCTTTTGCAGTAGGTGCAAGGAAAGCTTTGTGCTGGTTTTTGAGAGGGATCCTCTCTGCATGAAGGTTTTGCCCATTCCCGGGTAGCACAATGTCCTTCTGCTCCCTGACCCATCTTTGAAATCCTTTGCCTTCTTTTCTCCCTACCTTTAATCTTTCCCAGTCTGTCCCCTCCCCAGTTTTGAAGTGGTGATGACAGAGTTAGTGACAGAAGCAGTGTCAAACAGTGATGGCAACTTGTTATACAAATGTGACGGGGTGTTTTCCCAGTCTGTCCCCTCCCCAGTTTTCAAGTGGTGACGACAGAGTTAGTGACAGAAGCGGTGTCAAACAGTGATGACAACTTGTTATACAAATGTGACGGGGTGTTACAGGATACTTGACTATTATAAAAGGGGATAAAAACCTGAAAAAGGTTGGGAACCACTGATCTAGACTTTTAAAAAGATTGTAAGCATTATCTCAAATTTGTTGCTCAAACTGACTGTACTTAATATACATAATTGCCGATAGCAAAATCTGTTTAAATGAAACAGCTATAACGAAAAAAAATTCAAAAAGTTGATTTGCTAAATCAGTTAATAAGGTTCTATAAGTTAGCTTTTAAATGACTTTCTACTAGAGATGTGGGTATTCCTATACAAATATGAATACCCCCTCACAGGGGAACATAACGAGGGTCCAGCCCCATGGGCCGGACGGTCCACTCACCGATCCATCGCGGGTGCTGCAGAGCCTTCCAATGGCTCCGGAGATCGCATTTGGCGAGCCACTCTTCGACCTAGCAGAGAGGCTTGTTGCCCCGCCTCCTGCCAGGAGTGGTGAGCCGAACACGATCTCTGGAGCCATTGGGGCTGGACCCTCGTTATGTCCACCTGTGCGGGGGTATTTGTATATGAATACCCCCATCTCTACTTTCTACCAATGATCCAGAGACCTATAGACATGTGTTCTAAAACTAAAAGATAATATAGTGTTTCATGTTATGCTGAGATGCTGGAACATAAAAAATATTTCTTGAATTCTTCCACAGTTTTGATTTTTGTCAGATAGCAGGAGAGAAACGTCCTTCTGAAAATCTTGGTCAGGTATTGTTTGGTGAAAGGATTGAGCCATCTCCATATAAGGTATATATTTTCTTTTGAAAGGCAAAAATACACTGAACTATAGAGTCTAAACTATGAATCCCACTTATTAGTATGGTTTAATTTGTACATATTGAACAAAATGTCACTTGGGCAGCTTTTGAAAAGACAGAGTACTAGCACATGGCGTTTCTGAGAATTTTGAGGAAATTTTTTACAGTATTTGCTGGTGATGTGAGGCTGCATTTGTTAGTATGCCCATAGTTTAAATCTTAATAGTGCAATCCCTGAGTTCAGACCAAAAAAGAAAAAAAAATTGCTTCCTGTGGAAGGAAGTTCCACAACTGGAGAGCAGTGATGAAGAAGGCCTTCTCTTGTGTCCTCACCAAACACACCTGTGCAGTGTTTCCAAGGTTTTGTAGCACGCATGGTGTTGTGGGGAAGCTAAAATGGCAGTCCTACTGATGAGTCCAGCTGCCCAAGTCTGTCACTCCATCAGCACTGTTTCTGTTTGCCAACTAGGGTGCTTGTTGCACCTGCTGTCTTGTTCAGTGAGGCTTTGTTTTAAGAAAAATGTTGTTTGTGCCTGTATGTTGAGTTACTAGCTCCAGAATTTATATCTTCGTCAGCATCTGATTTTGAATTTTATTATCTCTTCAGAGGGAGGGAGCTATTTTCACTAATTGATGGAGACATATATGCATTGTGTGTGTGTGTGTGTGTGTGTATACACACACACACATTTTTATTTGCTGGTGAAAGGATTGTCAGGCCCGTGAGGCTGCATTTGTTAGTATGCCCATAGTTTAAATCTTAATAGTGCAATCCCTGAGTTCAGACCAAAAAAGAAAAAAAATTGCTTCCTGTGGAAGGAAGTTCCACAACTGGAGAGCAGTGATGAAGAAGGCCTTCTCTTGTGTCCTCACCAAACACACCTGTGCAGTGTTTCCAAGGTTTTGTAGCACGCATGGTGTTGTGGGGAAGCTAAAATGGCAGTCCTACTGATGAGTCCAGCTGCCCAAGTCTGTCACTCCATCAGCACTGTTTCTGTTTGCCAACTAGGGTGCTTGTTGCACCTGCTGTCTTGTTCAGTGAGGCTTTGTTTTAAGAAAAATGTTGTTTGTGTCTGTATGTTGAGTTACTAGGGACTTGGGGAGATAGGCTGTGAAGAGCCACCAGTTTGAGAATATAACTCCCTAGGCTTCTGTCCATGCTGTATGTTTAGCTAAATAAATGAGAAGGAAGCCCATCCTCGGTAAGAGAAACATCATAATTGTTAAGAGAAACATCATCATTGCTAAATTTTACCAAGTCAGAAACAGTTCTTTGTGCTCTATGAGAATTGCTGTGGAGTAAAGTTTGAGGTATAATGGTTTAAGATCAAGAAGGGTTTCTTTTGCTGGGAATAAATTTTTTATTGGAATGTCGAAGAAATCTTGGTCTACATGATTTTTCATCTTTGTCACAGTAATTGAAATATTATGATGAATGTATGATGGAATTGCTTTTTAAACTGGACAGGGACTTGGGGAGATAGGCTGTGAAGAGCTCCTTAAGAAGTCTCAGGCTATCTGTCCTAGAACATCTTTCTTGACTGCTCTTCCAGGGTGATGTCTCAGAGTGATTTTTGTGAATGTGGAATTGTTTTCCCATGCTGTTTCTTGTACTGTTCCTGAGTACATCTGTTGCCTGACTTCCAAGTTTCTAGTTGCCAAATTTTTGAAGTGTTCTCAGTATGACTTCTTTCCTTCCTAGAAATCTGCTTTGATTCTTCTTTCCCTGCTTTCCTGACATAATCCTCCATGGTAGTTAGGGGTTTGATCTTGATTGTAAATACTTTCAGTCATTTTAATGGCTCTAGGTTAGCTGAATTTTTATATTCTGGGGTTAAGATTTCTGTTTCTGTTCAAATCATGTAGTTGTGTCTTTTCCACAACTGATATATTCTATTGTAGGACACTGTGAAAGAATTGCTGCCTGTAAATATCCTTTTCTCACTATAATGTCAGCTGCTATCTGTTCCAGCAAAAAATATTATATTAAAGGGGCTCATCTGTACTGCCCATACCCTACAAAGCTTTATTTGCAGCTGTTTTTTCTCTCCTAAAACCCATTCTAATCTTTGGTGTTCATTTTTGTTTTCTCAATGTTGTTGCTGTTTAGTCGTTAAGTCGTGTCTGACTCTTCGGAATCCCATGGACCAGAGCACACCAGGCCCTCCTGTCTTCCGCTGCCTCCTGGAGTTGGGTCAAATTCATGTTGGTAGCAGGCTTGATTTCTTACAAAATGGTTAGGTTTGTTGTCTTTGCAGTCCAGGGGACTCTCAAGAGTCTCCTCCAGCACCAAAATTCAAAAGCATCAATTCTTCGGCGGTCAGCCTTCTTTATGGTCCAGCTCTCACTTCCATACAGCACTACTGGAAAAACCATAGCTTTGTCTATGCGGACTTTTATTAGCAAGGTGATGTCTCTGCTTTTTAAGATGCTGTCTAGGTTTGTCATCGCTTTCCTCCCAAGAAGCAGGCATCTTTTAATTTTGTGGCTTCTGTCACCATCTGCTGTGCTCATGGAGCCCAAGAAAGTAAAACCTTTCACGGCCTCCATATCTTCCCCTTCTATTTGCCAGGAGGTGATGGGACCAGTGGCCATGATCTTAGTTTTTTTGATGTTGGGCTTCACAGCATTTTTGGCGCTCTTCTCTTTCACCCGCATTACGAGGTTCTTTAATTCCTCCTCACTTTCTGCCATCAGAGTAGTATCATCTGCATATCGGAGGTTGTTGATATTTCTTCCGGCAATCTTAATTCTGGTTTGGGATTCCTCCAGTCCGGCCTTTCACATTATGTATTCTGCATATAAGTTAAATAATCAAGGGGACAATATACAGTCAAAAGCACACCTGGTGAAAAAGATAGAAGAAACATAAGATAATGTAGACACTTAGATTTTATAAAAATTGACCAGCCCCAGTCAGAAAAACACATCCTATTGTCTTTAGGATACAAACAGCAGGCTAAGCAGTATGCTATTTGTATCCTAAACATGACAGGATGTGTTTTCCTGTTGAAAGCTTGAACTTTTACTGTTTTATTAAAGGTTTTACTTAGAAGCTAAATTGTTTTTTGGGTTAATTCGGTCTCTTTCTCTTGGATTGATCAACTTTTATTATGCTCCAAGAAAGTAGAAAGTTTTTCACATGGAGTTTGTGTTACTATATATTTTTGGTTTAGATTATAAATTCGTGGGTATGAGTGTCACTGAATTTATTGGAGATTGTCAAAAGCATCCGTTCCTGACAAACAGCATAATTGCCCAATGTACCTGTCTTATTTGAAAAGTATGAGTGGCCTTTCTGCTACTTTAGAGGTCAAATAACTCCCTGCTATCCAACTCTTCTGTGCTTGTGCAGCTCCGTTAACTTTTTTTTTTTTTTTTTAAAAAAGGCAAAATGAAGCATACATACATACACAAGACAACTCCTTTGCTATAACCTTAATGCCTAATTACTTGAGGGAATGCCTTTTTAAAAAAGGTTATTAACTCCTCACAGGATGCGCCAGACTATGTCTCCCTCCTTCCTTTTAATTATTATTATTTTGAAAAGTG